ATGGTTAAAAACAGTAATACGTGCAACATTTTTTTCCACACACTAATTATTTAAACATTTTAAAAGTGGGTATAATTTTGTTACAGACTATAACATAATTTTCATCGATCTATATAAAAAAAGGAAAATGGAAAAAAATGCACCAGCCATTGCCATATACTTAATATACCAAGTAGATAGGCAGCATTTCCATGTATTTGCTGATTTGCAGATGTATGATTAGGTTAACACTATTTCCTTTCCATGGTTTCTTGAAAATTTTTGACTGAACAATTCTTAGACTATGGAATAGAAGCTAATGACTTAGAACCAAGTCCCTCTAACTCAAATAATGAAAAGCACTTTAGCTAATGCTTTCAAGGGTGGAGTTGCCCTCAAATATTTGTATGTTTCTTGTTTTCCAAACAATATTTTTTAATTCTGTTCAACAGAATAGAAACACAGAATAGGAACAGAGAAAAGCTGTATTTCCTCTAAGAAGTCCAGGATATTAATATGCAATTTCCTATTATTTTAAGAATCTTGAAATTGCAAAGAGATGTCCAGGACTCACATTACAGGCATCCATATTGTACATTACGCAGTTATAATGGAATTAATGCTATTTTGAAGACTCTAATTTTTACTCTTTAAAGATTAAGAGACTTCTCATTGACTTTCCTTGTCTAAAACAAAGAATTGACTTCTGCATTGTTTTAAATGGAAACATTTATGGAGTCTTTCTTCCTATATCATCTGAGTTTCAAAAGATTAATCCTGAAGTAAAGCTTGAATATGCCATCAAGGGAAAACAAGTTCCTTCTGCTATGTCTGTATGGGTAAACACATTAATGACACAGATGCTACTAATAAATATGAACATTGTGTTTGCCATCAAGACATTAATACTACACAACTGCACTCTGTCTCTAGAGGAAATACAACTTTTTTTAATCTACAGAGGCCTCTGATACCATGCTTACAACCCAGCAGAATTTACCTGTACTCAGTGTGGAAGGATGGAGCGGACTTTGGCTACCCAAGATGTTCATTCTCGTGCTACGTTTCTATAGAGAAAATGAATTACACATTAAATCCACACAAAAGCCTCAACAGAAGAGAATTAGTGCACATGCAATACAGATTTATTTTACAGGAAACTGGGGGCTGGGCAAGTTTAATGCAAGGATGAGAAAAAGAAATGCAACTTTGAAGGGGGCTAATCTACAAGCAGCAGCTCATTTCAGTTGGCTTAAAACACAAGCCAGATGTTAATGATGAAAGCTCAGTATCTTAAAAAAGAAGGGAAAAAAAATGAAAAAAAAAAATGACAGGGAAAAGAAAAGTGTGATATGTTTCTGCTCAGGCAAAACACCAGGCACTCAGTAAATCAAGCACTATTTCCCTCCCGTACATAAAGCACCAAGTAGTGCTTCAGTAATGACTCCTATTCCCTAAGAGACGAGCATGTGGGAAAACTTGTACTGCAGTTGTCTGTCCACAAGACACTATAAACAAGTTACATCAGTTTTCATTGTAAGAGGTCCTGCCTCTTGTATATTCTGCAATTAAACTTACTGGGAGCAAGCCATTAGTCAGAGCCCCAGCCTCTTCCATGTGGGGAAGCATTTAATTTGACATATTCCTCCTCAGAGACTGGTTTTGCAAACTGGCAGTAAAGTTCTGGTGGGTCTGCTTTCCCCCTCAACTTTCCTCTGGACACTAGGGGGATAGAGAAGCAGTGGTAGAAGGTTGTTGTGAATGTGACAGTTTTGCTAAAGATGGATATTGACTTTCAGATCTGCATGCTTGCAGTGTGATTGCGTCAGGTCGGAGCTAAGCTATACTGTGACCAGCACTGCACTAATATCATAGCACACTCTGTATTTTGGCTCTCAACACTTACTAATTACAAAAATAGAAAAGAAGAGAAGATAGCTACCCTCCATGCATGTCCTTCCTCCAAGGCAGCACTCTGTGCTCCAGCAGGATTTTCAATAACTCTTCCTATTTGCCCCGAAAAATCCATTGCTACTAGTGAGTTTTCAGATACACTTCTCTGAAAAGGAATTTTCACTTGTTTCAAAAAACAGGGAAAGAAAAAACCAGCTTGAGAGTTTCATTTCAAAATGTTTCAGTTTCAGAAGACTGTCCAAAGTTATCCTTCAACAGCACAGAAAATACGTATCTTTTTTTTTTTTTCACTCCTTTCCAAAAGATTTGCAGACTCCAAAATAGATGGCTTTTCTTTTTAGGCCATAGGCGAGGGAGAGCATTCAAAGGCTGAGAATAAACACAAGTTCCACAGGTTGCCCACTTGCCCTATTACTATACTGCAGTCATTTTGGGGGCCGGCTGGTATCCAAGTATAGGATCTTCACTTTTAGATAGCTAGCAGTCAGCTCTTAGTCTAACATATTTTAGGAGATCTACGTGTTAGTTTTGCCAGACCCAAGCTGGCTTCTGCAGAGACAGCCAGATTTCTCTCTGTACTGTAGATCTCAAAGTGCTTGTGACATATCCAAGATTTTGTCATGTGGATCATGTAAGCCTAAGATAACAGAGAACCAACCCCGCAAACTGTACTCATGCGAAACATGAACGTTACACTGATTTGCCACACAATGCTGACTTCACATTTCCTACTGTAAATTTTCCACTTTTAAAATGCAAAAGCAAATGTATCTTTTCCAACATTAATACATTGATGAAGTCCTTTACTTACTACTGGAGTGGAAAAGTGTGGAAGCATGGCTTTCCTCTGCTGGGGAATTCTGTAATTCTGATACAGTAGCATTCCGTACTGCCAACAGAAATGCAAGGACATTTTTATTCAATCGTATACCCTAGGAAAAACACTGTAGTGATTGCATAATACCACTTACACTGGAGCAAGGTACCACCAGTTTATTCTTTTCACGGTCAAAAGCTGCATTGAATACTAGTTATTGGTAGGTGGCAATCAAGCAGTAAATATGCACAACACATTTTATTCTAAAGACAGCACCTTTACAAGCCTGAGTTAAATACACAGTAAATTTCTGCCACTCAGCTATCATCATGTTTTCCTTGTAGAGAACAAGCTTTTGATTGAGGTGAGAACACACATACTAACCCACCCCTCTCTTTTTACCCTCTAGTAATGTGAATTTTTAAAATTATCTGCATAAGACACTTAAACTTGGTTTTTGTAAGGATAAAAAATAAGAACCTTTCTAATTTGCTGGTTTTTAAAAGGCGCTTCAAGAAGAAATAACACTTTTGGTACTTTTCTAATCCTTATAAAAACAAGGTGATAGAATTCCAGTCATGTTCCTCGTTGAAGATGATAAATGTTAGCAACACTAGTTGTTAGGATGGTAGGAAAACACCTACGTGGAGCCTTCCCCAGAGGCAGGGTGCTGAAGTGTAGCAATGCTGCTTACTGAATGTTCTAATTGAAATGGTATATACACAGTTTTGTAAACAGGGTCATATATGACTATGGAAAGCTACATCAGTAGGTTAATAAAAAGGAGGGTCAAGGCCACAACCTCAGGGCACAGCCTTAATTCTCCCTGACTATACACCTTTCATCATCTTCCAGCATTCCTTATAAACAAACTCTTTTCTTTCCCCTAGTGTTAACTGCCTAGGGATGGATGTTACATTCAGAAATTACTGCTATACAGTTCTGCTGCAGCCACAGGTCGCACTGCAAAGAAAGTCTTCTGAACGGTCACAGCAAGATGCATGTCTCTATATTTAGTAAGAACAGCTAATTCTGTACATTTTGAAGGTTCTTCCTTGCTACTCAGGAACATTAGTGCCTCAACCAGTGTCACTAATTTCTTCAGAACAAGTGATATCTTTGAGGCACGATTCACTATGATTATCCAATCCTCTGTTTGAGCACTTTCCCCACAATGCAAAATTCTGTGTAAATAGGGAAAGTAAAGGACAGCTGAGAGGAAACAATTGGAATTACCCACAGATTAAACTCTTACCATAATTGTTAATGTGTATTAAACACAAGTCAAGTCAAGTCACTGGAGAGCAGCTTATGATGGCAAACAGAGGCTTCAGCGCCACAGAAATCAAATATGCATCTTGTAATTGGGACTGCTTCTTGTGTCCTGGCCCACACTATGGCTAGTGCACCTGCTTTTGTGACAACTTAAATTAGGAATTTCTGTACTGCAACACAGAATCTCTTACAATTAACAAACTAATCCATATTTGGAGAGCACCAGTTAATATAGATGAAGAACAGGCATTGTGTTTCCATACGCGCAGGCCTAGGAATCTGATTTGCTTTCCCTGTGCTTACAGGTTTTTTTGCATGATAGACAATCTGCACTGGGAGAGGAACAGGCAATTGTAGCAAATATTTATCATGCCTTGAGGATGAACAAGTAAGATGAATGTTTTTGAAGGGGAGAGGAGGAATAAACACTGGTCATGCAGAAGAGGGCATCTCTGTGGCTTCTCATAGTCAATGCCACACCTAGGCTGGGAAGCAATGGAACCTCACACTTTCTGATGCACCCACTCCCTTTCAGCTCCTTG